AGCCGCAGCAATTGGACGCATCCCAACCCATACATGCTTCCCCCTCAGACCTGCGCATCATTGATCGAGCAAAATTTGTCACAAAAGTACCCAAACAGTTGTGACCTTTGGAAGGAAAACACAAAGCATCCATAAGGCCAAACTGAGCAAAACCAACTTGTTAATAGTTACAAAATTCAGTTAAACCACCAATATTCCCCAGATGTGAGTAAATGCTGGTGAACGTGCTGCAATTTACGTACTACGGGACCTAATGTCAGAGGTGATTGTAGCTGGGGAAAGTATTGGTTGTTCAACTCTTTTACAATGCCAACTTCCTCTTTCATTTTAAAGCACCCAATGGCATACTTTTTCCTGCACGCAATTCGCATCCCCAAGGCTATTCTATTCAGTCCAACATGTCTCCAGTATCCGTCACTCACTCAATCTTGTGCACAGTCCATCATGCTGCTTTTAAACCCAGCCTCATGTCGTCACCCCACCCATTCCTGTAGGCTCGTCAGGCCTTTCCAATACATGCAGTCTCCAGCCAACCATCACTCCCCTTGCATCTGAAGAAGGGAAAGAAGCTGCTTTCTTGACGTGAGTGATTTGTGTTTTATGAATGAGTGAAAGAAGGGTAAGCATAGTCCAAAGAGAGATAAAAGGAGAGCGAGACAGAGCAAGCAAGGTAACCTGCAAACCACAACAACTGTGTACATTGGCGAAGTTGGTTTCCAGAGTGTGTTGGAAAAAAAAAAAAGAAAAAAAAAAAGGTTTCCAGAGTGTGGACAAGCCCCACACAGAGGCAGCACTGTTTCGCTAACCTAGGTGGCGACTACAAAAAACAATAGAAAAACAAAATGATGTGTGTTGGCAATCTCAAGGAATGCTTGGCAGGCACAGCCTTAAAGGTCCTCCGATGAGGACACGCGCACTACATATACATGTGTGCTGCATGTGAAGCAGAATGCCAACAGAAGACAGTGAAGAGAAGCGTGGTGCAGAAGACTGAATCAAGTAGAACAGTCTCTGCCATCTGTAAAGTACAGAAAACGCACCTACCAGACAGAAACAAAGCATACAGCCATATGTAGACGTGCCTGACGACACTGCAAAAAAAAGTTGTGAAGGTATTCCTAAATGACATGTGGTGAAGGTTGTAGAATGCTTCCAGTGAAGTGGTGAGGGCAACACAAGACTGAAAAAGCAAACAGACCCCGTCAGCAATGGTGACATGCAGAATCTGAACACAAGACGACCACACAGCCACGTCGTACATGCCCACTCACATGGGATGGGATGCTTGCTGAAAAGCGACTGCCAGAAAGGTCCCACAACTACAAATGAAAGCTGAATGATGAACATAGTGTGACAAGTGGCCTGTGGGTGCAGATGCGTGACTAATGACATACATGTCCATGACACGCAGCACGGGAGAAGAGAAAGCAACAGCACCACACGGCCCACACACAAACACACAAATAGACAACTCCCTCACAGATAACCTCAAGGCATGCAAACTATTGTGCCGTGTTGCAAGTCCTGTACGAACAGCTTCTGCTCCCAAAAAATACCAGAAAACCATTGAACACAGTTTTTCGCAGTGTCCAGGGGCGGCCCTTACATGGTGCTGGTGGGACAGGATCTGGCGCCAATTGGGCACAGAGTCCACCTGGCTGTGGGACTGGTGTGCATTGCTGTGTGGAGAATGGAGCTCCCTGTGAGCTAGCACATTTGAAGGAAACATGTTCAGAGTAGGGAGGAGAGCGGTATTATGGGCGCCGTGGCGGAAGAGATGCATATTCGAAGAAGGAAGCGCCCAGCTCTCTTTATGTTCACACACATACACACACACACACACACACACACACACACACACACACACACACACGCACACACCACCACACACACTATCTATGTATGTCTTTCTTCTTGCGCTTTTTTTTTCTTAGTACTTTTGATGGGTCTAAAGTTATCTGAACGAGTACCTCCAAGAAGTGTCGAACAATCAGTTGTCAGTTATTTGGTGTGCCTGCAGAACCATCATTGGACGCTCGTTTCGTGATGTCTATGATCGAAATGGTCTATGGGTGATGGTCGACATCCGTCGGAGTGGCTTCCTGGCTCAGCAGGTGGTGTGAACCAACAGTCTGTGGGGTCCCACTTGTGGTGTGAGTATGTTGCCTGCTGAGCCCACCACACGGCCCCCATTTTCGGGGCCCGACGGTTGTTGGGGGTCCCCACGCAATGCGCCCATTTTTTGCACACGACCTGGAGGCCCACTGCCATCCTGGTAGGCCAGGCAGGTCCTTTTCTTTGAGCCAGCATGTATTTATTTATGTGTTCTTTTGCTGATTCTTTTGTAGGTTCTATTTTTGTCTGTTCCAGGAAACTTTACTGTCTGTTCAGACCAGGACCACGTTTGGGGTCTCTAACAGGCCAGCTTCATGACTGGGCCGTTTTATGCCAGGTTCGGAGTCGTCCGGTAGTGGACTTTTCCTGCTGCATCAGCAGAAGAGCCTGGACGTCCAGTAGGGACCCAGGCAGGCCGCTCTCAGGCCCAGGACCAGCACCAGGACTTGGGCCTGTAATCTGGGCCACTGATCGGACTTCAGATCCAACGGCCCAGATTGCAGACCGTGGGCATTGCAGCCAGGCCCATCACTAGATCCTGTTTGTTATCATCATGGAAGCCCTGCCACCAATTTGAGACACCACAAGGATATCAAATGCATACAGGTAACAACTATTCCAGAGGAGGCAATCCCTGTGTGCTCCCTCTTTGTTGATGACCTCTCTCTCATGGAGGAAGCATCACAGGAAAACCTTGAGGCAATCAAAAGAGTTATGGATATATTTTGCCTCTTATCTAACATGAAGGTTAACTGCAGTAGTAAAACACTAGGATGGTGGATCCGCCATCAAGGAGTCAAATATTCAGAACAACTGCAGATTAAATGGCTTCCCTTAGATTCGATTATTCGGGTATTAGGGATCTCCCTTTCCGCAGAGGGCAACCCATCCACTAACAATGAATGGATCAGTCAACAAGCCCAAATCAAATTTCAATTATGGAAAGATAAACACACCTCTATCCTTTGAATAACTTTTGTTATTAATAACGTGATTCTTGCAACAATTTGGTATAAATCAGCTATTTGGGCAATGGTTAAACCTGCTCTTAAAATATTCCAAAGACAACTAACAAACCTTTCTATTGAGAGGTAACCATGAATGTGGAAATGTATGCTGAAGGGTTACATGGCAGTCAGTAATCCAACCCAAGACTAGAGGTGGGTAGGGCGTAATAGGCCAACAATTCAAGCTATTTTACTATCGATTCAATAGGTCTGAAACGGTTTCACCCAGTTGACCTGGTACTGCAGTCACAGAGATTCGATCCCTAGACCTGTGACCTAACCCTGTACATTGACCCCGTGTGCTGAGTGAGATTCGATCCTTAGACCTACCCTGTACCTGTATGTAGACCGCGTGACCTGAGTAGGATTCGATCCCCAAACCTGTCCTACGGCTTAGGTTAGTCTGTAGTTTGGCCAGTAGGACTTGATCCCTAGGTCTGTTACCAATAGGCCTAGAGAGTCTGTTCTAGAAGTCTCTACTGAGTCTGTCGAAAGTCTGTAGAGTCTGTAGGTTCTAGAAGTCCGT